ACTCACGCTGTAATCCCAGCAGTTCGGGAAGCCAAGGCAGGCAGATCACTTGATGTCAGGAGTTCGATACCAGCCTGGCCAATATGGTGAAACCCCTGTCTCTACTAAAAATATAAAAATTAGCTTGCCATGGTGGGGGCCACCTGTGAATTCCAGTTACTGCAGGAGGCTAGGCAGGAGAATCACTTGGACCAGGAGACAGAGCATGCAGTGAGATGAGATCATGCCACTGCACTCCAGCCTGGGCGACAGAATAAGTCTCTGTCTCAAAAAACAAACAGCATCTCTGCCTGTTGACAATTTGAACTGCAGTCTTCTCTCCCTTGGCTTTCTCTATCAGTCACAGTCCCATCTACTCTATCTCCCAAGAATGCCTCAATATATCTGGTGGACCACTGACATGTTTTCTTGTTTTCCTCTACTGTTAGGAATTGACCCTTGAAAACATTTTCTTCCTAATTCGATGGAATGTTGAGTGGGGCACAGGATCTATCTGCCATCTTGCTCCAATAATCTGGTTTTAGATATTTTATGTATTTTTGTCACAATATAAGTGTGATTTTTCTCAATTTGGTTTTCTAAATGGTTAATATTGGTATGTAGAAACCCTATCTATTATTGTATATAATACTTTGTTACCTGTTTGGGTGCACCTTCCCCTGTATTTTGGCACAAGACTCAATCTGTTTTATTCTCCAAAAGAAATCTAACAGGCTGGGTGTGGTGGCTCACACCTGTAATCCCAGCACTTTGGGAGACCCAGGCATGTGGATTACCTGAGGTCAGGAGTTCAAGACCAGCCTGGCTAAGATGGTGAAACCCATCTCTACTAAAAATACAAAAAAAAAAAAAAAAAAAAAAATTAGCTGAGCATTGATGATGCGCACCTGTAGTCACAGCTGCTAGGCAACTCAGGCGGGAGGATCATTTGAACTCGGGAGGCAGAGATTGCAGTGAGCCAAGGTGCTTCCACTACATACCCAGCCCTGGTGGACAGAGACCCTATCTCTAAATAAAAAGAAAAACAAAAAAAGAAAATTCACCCCACAGGCAATAGAATGGTTATAAAAGGACACTTTATGGAAGATTCCATAGAGACTGATGGAAAGAGAAAGAGAAGTATACATTTACAGAGCTGAGCAGTTCCTGCAAAAATCACAGAACTGCCTTTTCTCCAAAAATATTACCCATAAGCTATTCTACTACTGGTTCTTCTAGTCCATCCATCCCTCTATTCAAAATCCTCAAATTGTCCATTTCCTTATTGGGATGATTTTCCTCTGTCCAGATCTGGGTCCTCCACAACACTTAACACTGTCTTCGAGTGTGTGAATTCCCATTATTTTAGTTCAGGTTTCCAAGGAAACAGGTTTTGGGCCATACAGGGCACCTCTAGACAGACTATACTGAGAAACCATGCTTGGAACAGGGCATGGGGAGAGGAGAGGAGAGGAGAGGGAATTTACTACCTGTCTCTCACTCCTGGCTATTTTCTTATTAGTCCAAAATTTACCCCCACACGCACGAGCCCCTGCACTTCCAGATTGCATCACCTTGCCATGGCAGCTGTCTGGGAAGCCAGATACCACACTTTGAGTGTAGTATTTCATACAACCCAAAAGTGGTAGCAGAGGCCAGGCGTGGTGGCTCACGCCTATAATCCCAGCTACTCGGAGGCTGGTAGGAGAATACTTGACCCTGGGAGGCAGAGGTTGCAGTGAGCTGAGATCACACCACACTTCAGCCTGGGCGACAGAGCAAGACTCCGTCTCAAAAACAAAACAAAAAACAAACAAAAACGTGGTAGGAAAAACCAGAAAGTCCAGGTATGTAGGTAATTGGCCTGGTTGTACAGCAGCAGCCAAGGGTGAAAACTAAATACTCCCAGGCAAGTCCTAAGTTCACCAAGTAATTAGAGTACCCACCTGTGTTAGTTAATTGCCTTTATCTGAAGGAAAAATAAAACTCATATCTCTGTGACAAGCGAGTGCTTACAGCTTGGAACAAGGCACCTAGAGCTAAACTCCTGACAGGGGAGACAAGACATCATCTTCCTCGATGTTCACATTTCAAAGAGAGATGGCTCAAGGCCCTGAAGAAAAGAAGACATTTCACAGGGACTGGGCTTGATGGCTCACACCTGTAATCCCAACACTTTGGGAGGCTGAGGCTGGAAGATCACTTGAGGCCTGGGTTCAAGTTCCCAGGCCCTCCTGGGTTTAGGATGGCCAGAGGCTTACAGATCAAAGGAAGAATTTACAAATACAAATTTTCTCAAGGAGATGCTCTAAGGAAAGTGAAATGGGGAAAGGTCTCTTCTTGCCATTTTGGCAACAGAAGAATTAACTTTTGTATTTAGTTACCTTTACAATTTCCCCGTTTGTTGTTATTCTTTTATAGGAACACTGCAATTTTCTAATAATTTCCCCTGCTGTTTCCTTCTCTGGGTAGTTTACAGCCACCTAGATATCCAACAAGTCCATAGTAAGATGCAAAGCAAAGCAATTATCAAGATTATAATAGGATAATTTTCTTTTTCGGGATGGAGTTTCTCTCTTGTTGCCCAGGTTGCAGTGCAATGGTGCGATGTCGGCTCACTGCAACTCACCAATCTCCTGTGTTCAGCAGTTCTTCTGCCCTCAGCCTCCCAAGTAGCTAGGGTTACAGGCATGTGCCACACAAGGCCAGCTAATTTTGTATTTTTGTAGAATACGGTGTCACCATTTAGCCAGGCTGGTCTTGAACTCCTTACCCCAGGTGATCGCCCAACTCGCTCCCAAAGTGTTTGGATTACAAACTTAAACCACCATGCCCTGCCTAGAAAGAATTCTTAAATTCAGTATAATACTCACCTTGTCAAGGGGCAGGATCTTTAGAAGCACATCATACTGGTTAATTGTGTCAAAGTCAAAATAAATTATAGAGACAAATCCCTAAATCAAATGCTCTATTTGGGAATCACAAAATTGCAATTCAGGGCATACACACGGACTGGGGTGGTCTTCAGTATGTCCAACAAACAAAGAGAAGTTGGAAGTTTTATTGGAAAGAAAAATGTTACATATTGTTTTGAAATGAGGCTCATTGGCCCTGGAAGCTAGTTCATTCGCACAGCTTTCACATTCCCTCTTTTGATCAACATCTTTCTTTGAAAACCTCACTGATCAACCATCTTAAAGTGAGGCTTCATTGTCACTCCATGCCAGGATGGACCTGGGCCAGTTGTCTTGGTCCCATGTCAAGGGAAAGGTAAGGGAGTCAATATCAGGGACATGGGCCACATTTGAGTCTAGAGGTCAGAAGGAATAAAAATGCAGGCATGTTTGTCTGGAGTTCAGCATCAAATTCCATCTTATTAGTCCCATCTATGGTAGCATTCATCTTGAAGCACTAGGCCAACATTATCCTATTTGAGCTAACTGGCTTAACAAGTATTAGGCAACAAGAATAGAGCTCAAAGATCATAATACCAAAATAATTATGATTATTTTATTTTATTTTTATTTTATTTTATTGCAGATTCAACTCTGGTTTAGAGGGTAAAGGGATCTGGGAGTTGGGTTGCCAGTGTGGAGACCGAATTCAAAGAAGGATCCAGAAAGGTATTAATTGTTATTATTATTACATTTAAACAGTGTTTACAAGCTCAGAGAGGACTTTCCCTTAGCCTATTTTACATGTATTGTTCACTATTTCATAAGTGAGGGAGCTGAATAAAAAGTAGCTTAAGGACTGGGCGCGGTGGCTCACGATTGTAATCCCAGCACTTTAGGAGGCCGAGGCAGACAGATCACGAGGTCAAGTGATCGAGACCATCCTGGCCAATATGGTGAAACCTCATCTCTACTAAAAATACAAAACTTAGCAGGCTGTGGTAGCACCTGCCTCTAGTCCCAGATACTCTGGAGGCTGTGGCAGGAGAATGGCTTAAACATGGGAGCCGGATGTTGCAGGGAGCCGAGATCATGCCACTGCACTCAAGCCTGGTGACAGAGCGAGACTCTGTTTCAAAAAAAAAAAAGAAAAAAAAAAAAGGTAGCGTAAGATTGTTGGTCAGTGACACATCCCAATGCGAGCAGAATTGGTATGGGTACCACCTCACTGAATTCCACATTCAATGTTGGTGCCTCGGTAGGGTGATATGCCATATCTGGTACTGCTTTCTTTGCTGCCTAGATTAATTTCAGGAAATCATTTCTTTCCCTCTCACTTCCCTTTATTCATCTCCCCACACCATCTTTCTCAGCAATGTTTTGTTGCCTCTCTATGTTTTTACATTTACTCTCCCAGCAGCTTTCTAAAAGCTTATATGGGATCCCTTGTATTTTTTTGAAGCTGTTCGCTGTGTAGACCTTGTGAATTCTTAGAATGCTATTTTTCTCCAAATCTTCTGTATACCAAACTCTCAATTACATGGAGATTTTTGCTGTTTGCAAGAATGCCAGTCTTCTTTTTTTTTTTTTTTTTTTTTTTTTGAGATGGAGTCTCGCTCTGTCGCCCAGGCTGGAGTGCAGTGGCCGGATCTCAGCTCACTGCAAGCTCCGCCTCCCGGGTTCACGCCATTCTCCTGCCTCAGCCTCCGGAGTAGCTGGGACTACAGGTGCCCTCCACCTCGCCCGGCTAGTTTTTTGTATTTTTTAGTAGAGATGGGGTTTCACCGGGTTAGCCAGGATATCCTGGTCTCGATCTCCTGACCTCGTGATCTGCCCGACTCGGCCTCCCAAAGTGCTGGGATTACAGGCTTGAGCCACCACGCCCGGCCAAGAATGCCAGTCTTAAAAGAGTGTGAAGATAAGCATTCTAGCCCTGGAAACCCCATTCACTTAGGCTATTCATTTCCCTTCTAATCTCCCAGGTTTTTCCTAATTTAGGCAAGTGTGACTCTCCCAGCATTGTTGAGAACATTGATTAAGGTAATGCATGTGAAGATGCTTTGTAAGCTCTAAAGCACTATAGAAATGTCACTGATACTGTTTATCTGTGACCTTCACATTGTAAAGATCATGCCCAAGAAGCCAGCAGAAGAAGGAAATGATTGGAAGGGAGTGCCAGAAGCATCTGGCCCACAAAACGATGGGAAACAGCTGTGCCCCCCGGGAAAACCAAATACCTCTGAGAAGATTAACAAGAGATCTGGTAGGAGGAAACAGTTCGGGAACAACCCCTCTGGCTTCCCTGGCTATGTTCAGGTGTGGGGACTGGGTGTGTGGCATGGATCCCAGACAAGCCTGGGTCCAGGCTGGGCTGAGGAGCTCACCCAGCTCCAGATGAGATGTTAGAGATGACTTCCAGAGACACAGACTGGAGTTGTCATCCATATAAAAAACCGCGTGACTTGGGGCAAGTCTTCCAAATTTTCTCAATTCCAGATTCCTAGTCCATAAGATGGAAATAAAGAGTCAGAGTTCATAAATGGTTTGGATGCGTTAAATTTAATCTAGAAGGCCAGATGACATGAAAGGTGCTCAAGCAATTCTATCTGTGATAACCTGGGATCATATCTTACTCAGCTCAATGCCTGATACACAGTACATGTGTACTTCAGAGATATTGCAGGTTCAGTTTCAGATCACTGCGATAAAGAGAGTCACACACACATATTTTTTTATTTCGTAGTGCATAAAATCATGTTTTCACTATACTGTAGTCTACTAAGTGTGCCGTAGCATTATGTCTAAAAATGTACATACCTTAATTTTAAAACAATTCATTGTTAAAAGTGCTAACAATCTTCTGAGCCTTCAGTGAGTCACACTCTTTTTGCTGGTGGAGAGAGGGTCTTGCCTCGGTGTTGATGGCTGCTGGCTGATCAAGGTGGTGGTTGCTGAAGGGTGGAGTGGCTGTGGCAGTTTCTTAAAAGAAGACGACAATGAAATTTGCCACATCGATTAGCTCTCCCTTTCATGAAGCACATCTCTGTAGTATGTGACGCTATTGGACAGCATTTTACCCACAGTAGAACTTCTTCAAAGTTGGAGTCAATCCTCTCTAGCTATGAAAGTCCTAGATGGCATCTCATCCAATAGAAGGCTAGTTTATCCGTATTGAAAATCTGCTGCTTAGTGTAACCACCTTCATCAGTGTCCTTAGCTAGATCTTCTGGGTAAGTTGCTTCAGCTTCCGCATCAGGATTTGCTGCTTCACCTTGCACTTTTATGTTATGGAGACGGCTTCTTTCCTTAAACCTTATGAACCAACCTCTGCTAGCTTCACACCTTTCTTCTGCAGCTTCTTCACCTCTCTCAGCTTTCACGGACTTGAAGAGCATTCTGGTCTTGCTCTGGATTAGACTTTGGCTTAAGGGAATGTTGTGGCTGGTTTCATCTTGTGTCCAGACCACACACACTTTCTCTATGTGAGCAGTAAGGCAGTTTTGCTTTCCTCTTCTTGTGTTCACTGGAGTATTAGTATTATTATTTTCTTCAAGAACTTTTCCTTTGCATTCACGGCTTGGCTGTTTGGCGCAAGAGGCAGAGTTTTCAGCCTGTCTTGGCTTTCAGCATGCCTTCCTCACTCAGCTTAGCCATTTCTAGCGTCTGATTTAAAGTGAGAGACATGCGACTCTTCCTTTCGTTTGAACACTTAGCGGCCATTGTAGGGTTGTTCACTGTCCTAATTTCAGTATTGCTGTGTCTCAGGAAATAGGGAGGCCCAAGAAAAGGAAGAGAGGCAGGGAAGAGCTCATCCGTGGAGCAGTCAGACCACACATAACATTCATCTATTAAGTTTGTCATCGTCTATGGGTACAGTTCTTGTTACCCCTAAAACGATTTCACACAACAGGGTGATTATAGTCAATAATAACTTAATTGTACATTAAAAAAAAAAACTAAAAGAGTGTAATTGGATTGTTTGTAACACAAGGATAAATGTTTGAGGGCATGGAGACCCTATTTGCCATGATGTGATTATTACGCATGGCATGCCTGTGTCAAAGCATCTCACGTACCCCATAAGAATATACACCTACTGTGGAACCACAAAATAAAAAACAAAAATTACTTTAAAACACTAAAGAACAACAAAACAAGTGCAGTCATAATATCAAAGCTCACTGATAACAGATCACCATAACAGATATAATAATAATGGAGAAGTGTAAAATTGATGAGAATTTCCAAAAAAAAATTGCAGCATATGCGAAGCACTATGAAAATGCGGTGCCATAAAACAAGGTATGACTGCATGCCCTTAAATACGTGCTGAATGAAAGGAAGAATGGGTGAATGTTCCCGTAAGTGAAGATGTTGGGAATCTAAACCTGACAACGGAAGGAGGCAGAAACTAAAATTTTCATTGGCATTTGGCCTGTATTGGTGTGGGTCTAAGCTGTCAGCCTCTCTAAGCTAGTGAATGTGAAAAGCTGGATGAAGAAGGCCCATGGGCACTTGGGACTGGGGAGGCATCTCCTTTTTTGGAGAAAACAGAGCCTAACACTCTCCAGCCTACCCAACCCTCATCTTCCAACTCTTCTCCATCATAGGATCCAAAAGGGGGAAACATGCCTGGACCCACAGACTGCATAAGAGAAAGCAGCTGGTGATTTATGAAGAGATCAGTGACCCTGAGGAAGATGAAGAGTAACTCCGTAAGTGAACCTTCGGCTCATCCCCCACATCCCTGCAGATGTGCTATTCTGTTATGGTACTGGTGTCCCATCTTGTCACTTGTTCCCCAAATCATTCTCTTCTCATAATTTTCTTGGGTACAGCATTGAGGCTGAATGAAGAGATTTCTCATGCTCTTTCCTTTTCTTTTGTTTTGAGAGGGAGTCTTGCTCTGTTGCCTAGGCTGGAGTGTAGTGGCATGATCTGGGCTCACTGCAACCTCCAGCTCCCGGGTTCAAATGGTTCTCCTGCCTCAGTCTCCTGAGTAACTGGGATTACAGGTGTGCACCACCACACCAGGCTAATTTTTAGATTTTTAGTAGAGACGGGGTTTCACCATGTTAGTCAGGCTATTCTTGAACTACTGAGCTTATGAGCCACCCACCTCTGCCTCCCAAAGTGCTGGGTTTACAGGCATGAGTCACCATGCCCGGGTGATTTCCCATGCTCTTTCTACTTCCTGCACTGTATATCCAGAGATGCTCCCTACCCAGGATGCTGTGGGTTCCCAAACCCCAGGTCAGCCCTGATATGCGGGCCACACCTTCCTCTAGCCTAGGAATTGATAATCCAGGCGAGGAAGTCACTGTGGCATGAGCAGATGGTTCACTTCCAGGAACCGTGGAAGGCGTGTGCAGGTCCTGAGGTAGGGCAGAATCGGAGTGTGCAGGGTCTGCAGGTCAGGCGGAGTTGAGATTGAGTTATTGGGCAGTGGGAACTCACTGCCACTTACTTTCTTTCTCTCTTCTTGCCTCAGCGTCGGTGATATGACACATGCCCATGATGAGAAGCAGAACGTGGTGACCTTTCACGAACATGGGCATGGCTGCGGACCCCTCGTCATCAGGTGTATAGCAAGTGAAAGCAAGTGTTTACAACAGTGAAAAGTTGAGCATCATTTTTCTTAGTGTGCCAAGAGTTCAATGTTAGCATTTCCATTGTTTTTTCTTGCAGTGTGCCATTCTGTTAGATATTAGCATTTTCATTGACGAGTAAGACATACTTAATGCGTATTTTGGTTTGTACGTCCATGCACCTCCCTTAGGAAACAAGTATAGTCAGGTATTCTCTGCATAGAACAGCACTACCCTCCTCCCTACCTAGATGTGACTACTGAGGGCAGGTCTGAGTGTTTAATTTCCGATTTTCCTCTGCACTTATACACACACACACACATACACACACACAACAAATACACACACAAACACACACCAAGTACTATAAGCATCTCCCATCTTTGTTTCCTGTTCAGCATGTACTCCCCTCATCCGATTCCCTGTATCAGTTATTGACAGTTAATAAACATTTACAAACATTCCCCAGTTGTTTGCTCCTCTCATTATTGTGCACACAGCTCTGTGTACGTGTTTGAATATTTCTTTAGGAGAGATTCTTAGAAGTGGAATTGCTGTGTCAAAGGAGTCATTTAATCAACAAAAACCTAATGAGTGCATCCTCGTGCTGAGTGCCGTTCTAGGTGCTGGAGAGACATCAGGGAAGAAGGCAGGCAGATGTTCCTGACCACCATTCTAGAGGAGGATGTTTCCAGTTGCTGGTTTTGTCCATTGGTTTTGTTTGTTTGTTTGTTTTTTCCAGAGACGGGGTCCTTGCTCTGTCCAGGCTGGAGTGCAGTGGCATGATCATAGCTCAATGCAGCCTTGAACTCCTGGGCTCAAGCAATACTCCCGTCTTGGCCTTGTAAAGTACTAGGATTCAGGCGTGAGCCACCGTGCCTGGCCTCCAGTTTTTATTTTGATGGAGACTATACACTTCAGTCCTGGAACAGGATTCTGCAGCAGGTGGTTGGGCATCTTGGCCTTCACTCTCTGAACAATTTTCAGGTTCAAGGTCTGGGACGGTCCTTTTGGGAGTATGTGGGAGGAGACACAGATGAAGTCGTCATCTGGGGAATGTGGAGGAATGAGGAAGATGTGTGCACGGTAGACCCTGTGATGGACAGGGAATAGAAGAGTCCACTTAGTCTCCATGCAGGGGAGCAATGGTGGGAAAGTCCCCTGGACAGAAGCATGAGACTGCCCATCAAACGTCTCACCAACCAAGGGTCTGGGGGCTGGGGTGGGGACGATGATTTGGGAATGGGACACTTCTTTCTCACAGGTACCACTGCACAGTGCAGAGGGGAAACAGTTGTGGGGAAGGGAAGGGCAGAGGGGAGTCTATTTTAGAACAGATCATTGTTGGACTTGAAACACCAGCTCCAGGTGGAGGCAGGATTGGAGCTGTTTTGGCAGTCCATAGTCCATCACCTTGGCCTCCTAGTTCTCCCCAGCCTTGGAAGGAGGACACTATCGTCATTATGCCTATATGATAGATGAGAGACGGAGTCCCAGACAGATAGTAGGCATCTTGTCACAGGTCCTACAGCTGGCAGGTACAGGAGGGGCTGAGTTTGGAGCTCACTGACTCTAGAAACATTAAGGAGGACAAGTGTGTGTGATGGAGGGAGGGAGAATTGAACAAGCCCCAGGTTCTGTCCCCAGTCGCAAGGTAGAGGCTGTGGGTTCATTTACCCAAGACAAGGAGCCCTCAGAGAGGGAGAGTGCAGGGAGGGAGAGGCAATCGTGGTCATAGTGGGGACAGTGGGAGACAGAGATATACAGGGTGGGCAGAAGAGGGACAGGCAAAGAAGCAGGGGAGACCCAAGGCCTAGTGTGGGCTGTCACAGCCACCAGAGGGACAGGGTGCCAGGAAGGAGGTTGTGGGGCTCCAGGAGCAGCAGAAGTTCCCCAGATCTGTGAGCATGTCCTGCCTGGCACTGCAGGAAGAGGTGGCTGCCACCCGGGTCAGTGTGGACGTACCTCTACCTGTGTCTCAGAGGAAACAAATTCTATTTTATCCCAATATAGGTCTGTATTACACAAATGAAACATTCGACTACTAGATATCGAGAGCCTTATCCTCCATGCAAATAGAGGAGAGGATACCCTAAAAGAGATGCTGAAGGATTTGATTTTTCTTTCTCCCTGGGATGATGGGATCCATAAGTTGGGTTCCCCAGCCCACAAAACAGGAGCAAGGAAGAGTGGCTGGAAGATTGTGAGTCGTGACAGGGAACATTTTTCCTTAGGTTCCTTGGTTATATAAAGCTCCCGACTATCTGTCTATCATGTACAGATAAAGAGTGAACACGGTCCCCTCTCCACAAATGTGTTTCTCTCCATTATTACTGTGAAGGGCTGAAGTTACACCAAGTTCTGATACATCACTTTTTGGGTTTTTGTGAGACAGGATCACACTCTGTCACCCCGGTTGGAGTGCAGTGATACAATTACAGTTCACTGCAACCTCGATTTCCCAGGCTCAAGGGATTTTCCCACTTCAGCTTCCCAACTAGCTGGGACTATAGGCACACGCCACCACACCCAGCTAGTTTTTGTATTTTTTCTAGAGACGGGACCCACTATGTTGCCCAGGCTGGTCTAGATCTCCTGGTCTCAGGCAATCCTCCTGCCTCAGCCTCCCAAGGGCTGGGATGACAAGTATGAGCCACCTCGCCAGGCCTTCACTTTCTTTAATGAACAATTATAAGAGTTTCATCTTAGAGGAAAAAGTGGGTACTACCTGACAATCTGAGTGTGGTGTTGGAGGGGAATCTGGCTGATTCAGATGTTTCCAATGAAATTTTAAATTAACCTACCTGATGATTATCCTAAGGCCCTTTCCTGCTCCGTGTTTTTTAAATTCTGGGTTTGGAGTTTTTCAGATGCTTTGTTACAGGGAGCATCTCTTGGCCAGGAACCGTGACTCAGGCTGTAATCCCAGCACTTTGGGCAGTTGAGGCAAGCAGATCACTTGAGGTCAGGAGTTTGAGACCAGCCTGGCCTACATGACGAAACCCCCATCTCTACTAAAAATACCAAAATCAGCCGGCCGTGGTGGCGGGTCCCTGTGAATCCCAGTTACTGTAGGGGCTGAGGCAGGAGACAGAGGGTGCAATTACCCGAGATCACACCACTGCACTCCAGCCTGGGCGACAGAGTAAGTCTATCTCAGAAAACAAACAGCATCTCTTGCCTGCAGTGATTTGAGCTGTGGTCTTATCTCCTTGGGTTTCTCTATCAGTCTGATCCCATCTACTCTATCTCCCAGGAATGCCTCAATATATCTGGTGGACCACTGACACGTTTTCTTATTTTCCTCTACTGTTAAGAATTGACCCTTGAAAACATTTTCTTCCCAGTTCAATGGAATGTTGAGTCAGGCACAGGATCTATCTGCCATCTTGCTCCAATCATCTGGTTTTAGATATTTTATGTATATTTGTCACTATATAAGTGTAATTTTTCTCAATTTGGTTTTCTAAATGGTTGTTATTGGTATGTAGAAAACCTATCTGTTATTGTATATAATACTTTGTTACCTGTCTGGGTGCAGCTTCCCCTGCATTTCGGCACGAGGCTCAAGCTGTTTATTCTCCAAAAGAAAACTGACAGGCTGGGTGTGATGGCTCATACGTGTAATCCCAGCATTTTGGGAGACTGAGGTGGGTGGATCACTTGAGGTCAGGAGTTCGAGACCAGCCTGGCCAAGATGGTGACACCCCATCACTACTAAAAATCCAAAAAAAAAAAAAGTAGCCGGGCATTGGTGGTGCGCACCTGTGTTCCCAGCTGCTAGGGCAGCAGAGGCGGCAGGATCACTTGAACTCGGGAGGCAGAGATTGCAGTGAGCTGAGATCTTGTCACTACACTCCAGCATGGGCAACAGAGACTCTATCTCTAAACAAAAAAGAAAAAGAAAAAAAAGAAAATTCACTTCACAGGCAATAGATAGCTATAAAAGGATAATTTATGGACGATTTCATAGGGGAGATTGATGGAAAGAAAGGAAGTATACATTTTACCGACCTGGGCAGTTCACTGCAAAAATCACCAAAACTGTCCTTTTCTCCAAAAATATTACCCATAAGCTATTCTACTACTGGGTCTTCTAGTCTTTCCCTCTATTCCAAATCCTCAAATTGTCCTTTTCCTTATTGGGGTAATTATCCTCTGCCCAGATCTCGGTCCTCCGCAATACTTAGCACTGTCTTCGAGTGTGTGAATTCCCATTACTTTGGCTCAGGTTCCCAAAGAAACAGGCTTTGGGCCATACAGGACACCTCTAGACAGACTACACTGAGAAACCATGCTTGGAACAGTGCATGGGGAGAGGAGAGGGAATTTACGTACCTGGCTCTCACTCCTGGTTCTTTTTCTTATTGGTCAAAATTTACCCCACCGGCACAAACTCCTCCACACTTCTAGATTGCATCACCTGCCCCTTTGGCAGCTGTCTGGGAAGCCACATCCCACACTTTGGAGTGTAGTGTTTCATACAATCCAAAACTGGTAGTAGAGGCGAGGTGTGGTGGCTCACACCTCTAATCCTAGCACTTTGCGAAGCCAAGACAGGCAGATCATGAGGTCAGGAGTTCGAGACTAGCCTGGCGAGCATGGTGAAACCCCATCTCTACTAAAAATACAAATTTAGCTTGGCATGGTGGCCGTGCTTGTAATCCCAGCTACTTGGTGGGCGGAGGTAGGAGTATCGCTTGAACCAGGGAGGTGGAGGTTGAAATGAGCTGAGATCACACCACTACACTCCAGCCTGGGCAACAGAGGGAGACTCCCTCTCAAAAACAAACAAACAAACAAAAAAGCCAAACAAACAAAAAATAAAAAGTGGTACAGAAACCAGAAAGTCCAGGTATGTAGCTAACTGGCCTGGTTGTACAGCAGCAACCAAGGGTGAAAACTAAATACTCCCAGGCATGTCCTAAGTTCACCGAGTAACTGGAGTACCCATCTGTGCTAGTTAACTGCCTCTATGTGAAGGAAAAATAAAACTCACATCTCTATGACAAGCAGGTGCTTACAGTTTGGAGCAAGTCACCTAGGCTAGACTCCCCTGCTGACAGGGAGACAGGGACATCATCTTCCTCGAGGTTCACATTTCAAAGAGATGGCTCCAAGGCCCTGAAGACATTCCTAGGGGACGGGCATAGTGGCTCACGCCTGTAATCCCAACGCTTTGGGAGGCTGAGGCTGGAGGATCACTTGAGGCCTGGAGTTCAAGTTCAAGACATTCCTGGGTTCTACGGTGGACAGAGGCTTACATATCAAAGGAAGAATTTACAAATACAATTTTTCTCAAGGAAATGCTGTAAGGAAAGTGAAATGGGGAAAGGTCTCTTCTTGACCTTTAGGCAA